CACACACACACACACACACACACACACACACACACACACACGCCCGCAGTCTTTCACTACTCAGGTTAAACATGATATATAAGTCTCTTAGATAACTTCGAAATGTTAATTTTTGGTTTATTTCAGTGTTTTATTTGTTCCTGAGTAAATGGGTTTGGCTGAGTTGTAATTCAATTCAGAAGGAAACATTTTCACCGGGAACAAAAACAGCATGTTAATACGTGGAGATTCTGAAGGCTGCTTCAGAATGATCAGATTATATTTTAAATATTTGTTCAGTTCTCCTCCAAACCCCAGCAGCTGTCTGTTGTAACTTTTGAGTGTCTACTAAAGTAAAAATAAAAGCGTTCAGAAAAGAGAAAGAAAAAGAAAAAAAAGGGACCCAGAGCTGCCTCTGCGTTCTGGTGTTGAATAAACCTTTGAAACTTGGGGAAAAAAAAAAAAAAGCGTTCTAATTTCTCACCTGCTTATTTTTATTAAGGTATACATGTACATTATTTTTATTAATAGGGTAAATCGGTTTGGCGGAGATTAAGGTTAAGCTTCATAACATATTAATCACAGTTAAATTAAGAAGGGACGGCAGTAAAAACTCCGGACCTGTGACATCGTCAAGTACGCTGGTGTTCCAATTGTACAAATTGCGAGTCCATACTCACGTTCTCAGCAAGTCCGGACTCGCCGAGAACGCGAGTAAGGACTCGCGTACTTGAGAACTGAGAAAGGGCCCTTGTCTCCTTACAGTGAAATCTAATTTACATTCTCCCACTGGATATTTAAATAAACCTGTAGCAACATAGGTAAAAAGGTTATGCTATGTCCTTCAATCGAGGAAGCTAGCTTATTGATTGATAAAAAGTCAACCTTTTCACTTCCACAATGTTTGCTTTTACATTGCAAAATTATATTTACAAAAGCTTGGGTTTATTTCACTCATTGTGGTAGTTACCATGAAATGAAGTGATCTTATTGTAAATTTCACCAGCTAAAGTGTTAGTATGAGTGATCAGTTAAGACTAGCTACAGAGACAGATCATTTGTTGTTCTGCTAACTGGGCAACTTAACACATCAAGGCAGTGCTGCTGCTCGGTCATACAGATAATAACCAATTATCTCTTCTCCATCGATAGCTTTCGCTGAGCTACAGACAGACATCCATGAATTAACCCAGGAGCTGGATGGAGCTGGGATTCCCTTCCTAGACTATCGGACCTATGCAATGAGAGTTCTTTTCCCTGGGATTGAGGACCATCCTGTGCTCAAGGAGATGGAGGTACGGGTCAGTACACCACCGACCAAACTTGAGACTGAAACAAACTAACAATGTATAATCAGCTACAGTAGAGGCTTTACTAACAAACTAACACCAAACATGGATACATACAGCTGCTGCTTTACTTAAAGTAGTTCACCTAGTTTGACAAAAGTTTGCCATAGAAGTATTCTGAAAGTTCTGTTTATCGGTATTAAAACTGTCCCACTAGCTTTACTGCTGGAAACTTATGTAGCATTATCCCATGACACGTTTCATCAAAGGAAGGACTCTTAAAAAGCCTGAGATGTGACAAGAACTCCAGATGCTGAACACCTTAAAGCAATGACATAACCTATATTTTACCTACTTCGTCTTAATGTATTCAGCTTGTCTCAATGAATGTGAATGAATTTTCAAGAGCCATAGTATCATCATTAGTCGGATCTCAAGGGACAGAAACTCACCTTATTCTTTTGATGTAGATAAAAAGAGTTATACAGTAAGTATTGCTTTGAATTGACTGAAAAAGAATGTTATGTAAGAGATGTTAAAAAAGATGCAGGAAAGGCAAAGGGGAACAAAGCAAAAAGAAAATTAGATTCACAGTTCCTAGGATTGTTGTAGGCATTATAAATCACTGTAAAGTTATTAAATGAACCAGTATATGCAAACTCCTTGCCAGCACAGCCAAATTGAAATAGTGAACCTGATTTATAAAGACGTCTTACCGCTGAGACCAAGGGAAGGAGAATTAATAGTATGTCAACATAAACTACTCCCCTCCAAAACTAAAAACCAGAGAGCCAAGTTTGCAATCAGCAGTATCATTAAGATGTAGAATCTGGTGCTGCTCCATTGGCTTTGATTGGAGCGCTGACTTTTTGGAGTCGAAGAGTAATTTGTTTGACCTTTTACAGCTTAATTTAATCGCTATAATCCAGAACGTTGATTCATATTGTTAGAAATAAAATCCCCCTGGGTGGTGTCATAGCTGCCATTGGTATCTCTTTTTTTATTTCTTTCTGTGATTCACCCAGAGTTATTTTTGAAAGGCAACAATTTTGGCTATGAGCACAGACTATCAATCTGTATTTACAAACTACAGATAATGTTAAATCTGAACGAACAGAGTCCTTAGAGCATCTAGAACAGCAGGAATGTAGTAGTGGGAAATGTACTTTCTTTCTTTTTTTTCCTTCTTTGCTTTCCCTTTGTGTTTCTTTAACAAGACAGTTTAACAAATCTAAATTAGTTCCAAGTCAGAAATTTAATTAGGTTGAAAATCATTTTCTTTTGTCCCAGTGTTATTTGTATTGAAAGGGCAGCCTAACATAGATGTTGATTAAATATATATATATATATGTATGTGTGTGTGTGTGTCTGTATATATATGATTTGAATATATGAAATTTGGTTCAATTTAGGCTTAACAGAGCATTTTATTAAGACACAGCAATGTGTTTCATTATGCCCATGATGGAATTAACAGCCGCTAACTGTTATAATCCCTGGCAGTGAGGTTAGATGAGAGATTTATCTTCATCAGAGCTTAATAAATCCAGGTATTTTGAAGGAAGCAAACCAGATCCAAAATGGAATCACTTATTGGAACCGAGCCGCTACACAGATTGCAATTTCTGAAAACCCACTTTGCTACTATAAGGGCTAATATTCCAGTGTTTCTATTTTTCACTCATGGGCTCTCCAGATCTGGAAGTGAGGCCATGCCAAAACCTGCATTCTTTCTTGTGATTTTCTTTCTCGCATTTCTAAATTATAGTGAACATATTGATTGACAAGTTCCTGCCATAGGAGTGTGTAGAGTCCTTTGTTTTCTATATGAGAGCCACTCCTCCCATCGCAATACACCTTGATGACAAAAGTGCTCAGCTTGAGGCTTCTCGCCAACATTTCACCGTAGACCACAGTATAAAAGATGGACAGTGACATCATCTGCTGTTTTCTGAAGTTCCGTTAGGAAGCTTCAAGATGAGCATTTCTGCCGTTGAAGATAGGCAGGTCTGACTGTGAATCGACTTGCTGATTAACTAATGACTTTTCAGTCACAAGTCATTAGACCATGGATAATCCTCCATTTTTATATATTTTTTAATTTTAACATGTCCCAAAAGTTAGTCCATAAACTCATCAGGAAAGCATTTACCAACATTGTAATCTCTTAATCTGAAGGTTGCCGGTTCGAGCCCCAGCTCCGACGGTCTCGGTCGTTGTGTCCTTGGGCAAGACACTTCACCCGTTGCCTACCGGTGGTGGTCAGAGGGCCCGGTGGCGCCAGTGTCTGGCAGCCTCGCCTCTGTCAGTGCGCCCCAGGGCGGCTGTGGCTACAATGTAGCTTGCCATCACCAGTGTGTGAATGGGTGGATGACTGAATGTGTAAAGCGCTTTGGGGTCCTTAAGGACTAGTAAAGCGCTATATAAATACAGGCCATTTACCATTTACCATTAAGGCAGAGGGCTGTGATCCCATGGACCTCTATAGCAGTGTTTCTCAACCTTTTGGAGCCACGGCACATATTTCACATTAGAAAAATCACAAGGCACACCACCAAACAAAAATGTCACAAAGACCATATTGATCATTTCCCCCCGCGCACCAGGTGTAGTGGAATTGGCTCAGGTTGTCTCCATTATACTTTTTTTGCTTTCTTCTGACCATTCGCATGCTAGGGCCTTCATCTGGGTCAAAATTAACACTTTTGACAGTGTTATATGTTTAAAAGTAACCTAGTCAGTTTTGAAGATTAACAATGGCTAACACTGAGCAGTGCTGGTTTTCTAACACTGGAATATTTCTAACATTTTGAGTTATTTTCCAGTGTTAGAAAATCAGCACTGCTCAGTGTTAGCCATTGTTAATCTTCAAAACTGACTAGGTTACTTTTAAACATATAACACTGTCAAAAGTGTTAATTTAACACTCAACAGTGTTGTATTTAACACTCAGAGGTGTGGACCTATATAGACACATTTTGCTGTGAGGATACAATAGCTTCCAGGATCTCAATAGAATATGGAAAATTTTATATTTGTATAAAATTAAGAACTTAACTTTCCCCTGCCGACAGTCTAATGTGATTTGTATGTGTACGTATGCTCATCACAGTTAGATTTACTGTACATTATTTTAGGATTACATCACAAACAGAACATGTTTAAACTCCGTTTTCCATAATCCAAAATCCCAAAAGTGTGAGTACACCTTTAACTTTGGGTGTCAGGCAGGCACAGAGGTAAAAGGTGCTTACGTATTTTATTGTTATGTCTAGACTTCCTTCCGTAACCGTCTGTATTGCCCCCAGGGGTTGCCGCTGTAATCCAATGACTTGGGTAAACCAATGCTCCTAGCTTTATTGCACTGCGTGACTGCTCTCACCCTAAGCTTGACAGCCACGTGACACACCTACACACACACATCCAAGCATACACACACAGTCTTGCAGATTTGTGAATCTACAAACCTTAAATCTATCTTGGAAAAATTGGTGAAGACCCTGCCTGCGCAGTATGTACATGCAAGTCCATCTGTCTAATCTCATTCTATCTCGCTCACACTCCCTCTTTTTTCCAACACGCACACACATGCGCACACATTGCACTCACCATCCACCCTGGAGGCCGAGAATCTCATTTAGCACTTTACAGAGAGGCCCAGACACTTTATTATTGCATGTCGGAGGAGAGAAAGAATAGATGTTACAGTGGTACAAAAGGATGACGACAGAAAGTAGGAGAGAGAGGGGGAGTGGTAGATGTGATGTGTGTGTGTGTTTGTGCAAGGATGACACACAAAACCAAGGAGAGAGGGAGAAATTAAAACAAGAGAGAGAGAGAGAGAGAGACCAATGATGTGAAACAGTCAAAAATAAGTGCGAGAGAGAAAATTAAAGGGATGAGGAAGATGGAGCGAGTGAGCGTCAGAAAGGCATCTTCAGGGGGTTTCGCGTGTTGTTGATAAGTAGTGACAGGTGCCAGCCAGTGGAACAAGCAGGGTGCACCTCTGTACCCAACCCTGACACACACACACACATACGCAATGCTGCTATGCCCTAATGCTTCATCCTTCCTTGTACTCCTCTCCATCTTTTCCCTCCCGCTCTGTTTGACAGAGGACTCCCTCTCATGCTCGGCTGGTTCAGGCCGGTCTGATTAGACTTTCGACATTCTAAGAAAGTTCCTTAAACTGATAAAAAGCCAGAGTTCCCCATGTGACAGCGGGTTATTAAAAGATTCAGTTAAGGGCGTTTAAGTAGTATAACACATTCACCCCACTAGCAGGTGTGATTATACCAAACAAGTAGAGTTTAACCGCTAACATCGCAGACAGAGATAACGTGTGAGATGGCTAAAGCTCAGGACCGTAAATTCAAATTCTCGTCTTATCGATATTCAACTGGAGGATGCTTTGAGCCACGCGCACACAGCCCAGACCCCGATGTCAAGAAGACAATCGTGTCAAAATTGTCCGCTGAAATCATCTGAAGTGGAACACGCCGCACGGCAGCACAGCAGGAGAGGAGAGTAGCCAATCAGTCTTACCTCGCTGTTTAACAAGCCAGTCTGAGCTCATCATATGTCTGCTTGCAGACGTGTTCGGAATCTCTCTTTGCCCAGAGTGAGTCATAGATTCATTACTTGTACTGTGCGTATCGCAATCTTTTGTGATATTGTTTAAGGAATCCAAAGCTTGAGGAGTCCTATTATGCTTATTGGTGATTGTATGTTTTCCTTTTTGGACTACTAGAGCAGCTTTCAGTGTTTCACAATTCAAAAATAGCCCCTGAGTACATTCACTGTCTGAAACAAGCTGTTTCAGCACCCCTTCCCTTTTAAGCCAGCTGCTTTGTGATTGGCTGCCCCTCATCAACACAAGACTTAAATAGTAGGTTCGGGGAGCTTCTGTGCTCACAGCCAGCGCTATGTTCCTGGGACCATATAAGGAATATTCACTGATATCATACAGACCTCCATCCATCCATTCGCTACCGCTTATCCTTTTCAGGGTCGCGGGGGGCGCTGGAGCCTATCCCAGCTGTCATAGGGCGAGAGGCAGGGTACACCCTGGACAGGTTGCCAGTCTGTCGCAGGGTAACACACAAGGACAGACAACCATTCACACTCAGATTCACTCGCACATTCACACCTAGTGGCAATTTGAATTATCCAATTAACCTATCCCCACTAAGTGCATGTCTTTGGACGGTGGGAGGAAGCCGGAGTACCCGGAGAGAACCCACGCAAACATGGGGAGAACATGCAAACTCCACACAGAAAGACCCCGGCCTGATGGTGGAATTGAACTCAGGACCTTTTTGCTGTGCGGCAACAGTGCTAACCACCGTGCCACCGTGCTGCCATCATACAGACCTACTAATTTTAAAAAGTCTTGGAATCAGAGCAGCCTGAGCCTTTGCCTCACCGCTATTACTTTCACATACCTCTGACCTCATTATTTGAAGTGACCTCTCATGAAGCAGCCCTTTAACCCTGTCTACAACACCCAACGTCTCCAGGTCCCTGCCAATGTTGAGAAGGCGCTCACCCTGTTCGGCCAGCTGCTGACAAAGAAGCACTTCCTGCTGACGTTCATACGAACCCTGGAGGCCCAGAGGTTTGTCATTATTTACTCGTATATTTCATAAGTGTTCTTCATTTTTGGTAATATGGTGGGAACGTGTGCTTTTACAAACATGAATGCATCAAGAAAAAAAGAAAAAAAAAGCAAAGGTATGTTTATGAAAGCAGTAACACATTTTAGGAGCTCTACAGTTACTGTAAGGCACTTAGCCAAATGTTTTATGACTAAACAGAGTTTAATTAAGATTAAATGAATTGCTATGAGGTTAACCTTGCGTACGTATTTCCAGGAACAATTCAGATGGGGCCAAACAAAAACAAGGTCAATCACTTGTAAAGGATCCTTTTTTAAAACATTGAATGTATTCGTAGGTCATTTTCGATGCGGGATCGAGGCAATGTGGCGTCTCTGATCATGACGGCCCTGCAGGGGGAGATGGAGTATGCCACCGGGGTCCTGAAACAGCTGTTATCCGACCTGATAGACAGAAACCTGGAGAGCAAAAACCATCCCAAACTGCTGCTAAGGAGGTGAGGAAGTAAAGCCAGCATAAACATATTATTTAAAAAGGGATTTAATGTTTCTGTTTTCTTTTGTCTAATTTTACTTTTTCATTTCAAGTATTAGTTTATATCAAACTTTGACTGCAAATGGACCGGATCTATATTTCTGCTCACTTCGCTCATTAAAATCATCATCATCTTCCAGAAAAGCAATATTAGCATAACGGACAGTTATGCTAATATTAAGTGTTCAGTTTTGACAGTCCACCTTCTGAAAGCTGGAAATCAGCAGAATACCACAGGTTAACGTCTTAACCTGCAGGAAATCGTAGTTTTTAACCAGTCATGGTTAGCTAGCTTTATACACTCACACACCACTTTATTAATGCTGACATGTAATTCTCACAAATATCTGATCACATGGATCAGCTCAGAGCGCTTAGGCATGTAGACATGGGCGAGACGACCTGCAAGAAGTTCAAAGTGAGCATCAGAATGTGGAGGAAAGGTGATTGTGAGTTTGAGAAACTGCTGATTTGCTGGGACTTTCCAACACAAGCATCTCTCGGGTTTGCAGAGAACAGTCCAAAAGCAAGAAAATATTCAGTGAGCGGCAGTTCTCTGGGTGTACCAGATGTATGTGCAAGTTCTTTATCAAAATGGTGATATTTTTCATTCTGAAATAGAACTACTGCGATCCACGAATGTTCATGGGCTGTTTTACAAAAACGCATGATTCATTTTTGATTAAGATGCTAAATGACAGATATTTACTTGCATTCTTAAACAGAAAATCAGTTTCAGCGGTTAAACTTTATGCTTGATTCTCAGAGAAGTTTCAGTGTGTCGGCTCAAATTTGGGTACAAAGATGTGAATTGAGTAGTGAATTTGAATTTCTCAAATATTTGTGTTTTCTTGTTTCCGTGACAGATGCTCTAATCAATTTGATAAGCACTCTATTGTCTACGGGGATATACTTTTATTTTGTTAAAACGGTTTTAGGAAAGACTTATCACAAAAATCCTCATGTCCATGTCAGTTTTTTCGGATAATTCTTTGCAAATCAAGAGCAGCTCCTTCACTCCAACCAGACTTAAATACTGTTTTTGTAATGAGTACCATATGATGTCATTCTTTCTGCAGAGAGTTCAAATGTACAGCAAATACAAAAATGCTGCCAAAGCACAAAAACACAAGGGAAACACAAAAAATGCCACAAAAGAAACAAATGGAAGTTTTTCGGAAGACAATAATGTGACGGACCAGCTGTGGAAGTGAAAAGCTAACAGAAAGCATCTTAAAGGCTTATAGGATCTACGATACTGTATCAATATTATATAATGCGAACAACCTTTTTATCGCCGTCACGACGAGATGAATCCTCCTCCTCTTTGAAGTGTGTCTCGCTGCGATCCTTTTGCTTTCTGTCACTTCTGCAGCTGTTCCGTCACATTTTTGTGTCCCCAAAACACTTCTGTCGTGTTTTATAAAATGTTTTCTTCATTGTGTTTTATTTAACTTCTGTTGTGTTTCACATGCTTTTGCAGCGTGTTTCTGTTTGCTGCTGTTTTCTTAAGTTGCAGTACAGATTTGAAAAATTTCCATGTGATTTTGTCACAATGTAATAATGTAACACGTCAACTTTAATGGACTCTGGTCAAATGAACTTGATTGACATTCATTTACACTGAGTATATTTTTCTTTAACGATTACTTATTTGAATAAATAAACCTTTAATAAAAGAATTGCTTCATGTTTATGAGGGCTGAGAATCTTTTCTTTTATCAGAGATATCAGAGCTCTGTTGGTCTGTTGTTGTTTCCTTTAAACGTCTCTTTTCAAGCATCGTGTTTCTGCCTTCTTTTCTCTGTTTGCATCAGAACCGAGTCTGTCGCTGAGAAGATGCTGACCAACTGGTTCACATTCCTCTTGTATAAGTTCCTAAAGGTAAGGAACGATCACTCGCATTAATAGTCTTAATTTAACGCTCCCGACTTGTATTAATTCTTTATTCCATTTACCTCAGTGTGTTTTTATTTAAAAGCTTTTCTTGTTTGGCCTTCATGTTTTCTTCCCTCAGCAGTGCAGAACACATAAGAGTAAATCATCAAAGCCTCTAAGCAGCACCCTTTTCTTCTCTGTTTTTAATGACTTTTCTTTAGGTAAGCCCACAGATCTTCTCCCCTCACGTAATTTTACTCGTGTAGCTGACACATCCTCTCCACTGATCTTTTCTGTTGTTCTTTTAGCTCACATCTTCTCTTCCTCTGATCTCCCTTTCATCTGCCTCGTTTCTTGTTGTCATTGCTCCGCTGTCAGTCTCCTTTCTGCCTTGAGGTCGTTCGCCTCACCAGGGGGCGGGACGTCGGTCGCGTTGTCCTCGCGCGTCGCCCTTTCCCTTTATCTTCTCCCGTCCGTCATCCCCTACTCTCGCTATTGCACAGCCGAGTGAGGCGATTTTCTTTTTTTCTTTAATGCTTCTCTCGTCCTTCTCATTGGGTTTCCCCTTCTCCTTTCCACACTTTAATTACATACGGAAAGACTTGGAGCTGTCCTCATATGCCAGTATAATCCTAATCATATTAAGAGTGCAATGTGATAATTATTGGAGTCACAGCAGAAAAGAAAGTTGAGTAATTTTGGGAAAGAGAGGGTGGACTGTGTAGAAGATGGTGTTAAATTGCGCATTAATCTCTCATTGTGATTAATCAATAACTGGAATATTACAGGAATAAGTCCTTAAATTCTACCAAAACAAACAACCGTAATTACCTAAACTGCTTTCATTGTCATCATTATTAATATTATTTTTATTTCTATAAAATCTCTAAATCTGGAAACTAATAAATACACAGCATTCAGTGCAATGTAGGAATGTGAGCCTCTTCCTCTCCCTGTACAGCCAGAGCCGTCATCATACCCCTAAAATGTAAATGTCAGGATACAATTAGGCAGCCCTAATGAAGGCAGCGTGCGGAGTAAAGGCAAATTTCATAGACAAGCATGCAGCGGCCGAGCAACGGAGGCAGAAAGCCGAAGCGTAATGCTGTAATGTATGCTCGCTCTGTCTCGTTAGCAGCTGCCCACCTAATTGGCCCAGATGCTAACGAGCTTCTTAAAGCGTGCAGCAATGGAATGACGGAGAGAAGAGGGGAGGGAGAGGTCAGAGATGGGCATTGGAGGTGGCGGAGAGAGGGGAGATGAATGGAGGTTGCGGGTGACAATTAGGAGTTAGGAAAATAGAGAGGTGAAGAGAAAGGAGCAAGGAGTTAAAGAGAAAGGCAGGGCAAAGATGTGAAAAGAGGGCAGAGAAAGGGGAAAGCAATGAAAAATAAGGATGACAGGAAGCAGGAGCAATTTTTTGAAGTGCAAGTGAATAAAATGAGGAGAAAATTGTAAAAGAAAGTTTAAAAAAAAAAAGCTGAGAAAATTGGGAGTAAAGAATACAGATGTTGCTGACTGATAATTTAGTTTCCTAATTTGCCCAAGTTAGACGCAAAAAATCTGACCTATCTTATCAGTCAGAAAACAGTTTAATTTTAGAACAAGCTAATGAACTAAGTTAAGCAATAACCATTATGTGTGTATTTAAGACCGGTTTGATGCTATGAATCACATCCTTCTATAAAAAGTCTTCCAAATATCGCCAAAACGTGGAACCACGCATAAAATCCCACACACTCCATGTCACATCAGTTTGCAAAGCATGGCTAACGTTAGCGACACTAGCACAAGCAGAACATGATGGCCCTTTGCTCACACTGAGTGGTTATATTCTAGCTTGCTTTGTCACAGCCTTCATGCTGAGGTGGATTTTTTTAGATTGAAGTACTGCAGAACCACGCTGGTTTGCACGATTGTCGTCTGTCGTACTTGTTGAAACCTTTTTGTAACACTGAGAGAATGATGCGGGCTTCTGACTTTAAAGGTACAGTGTGGTAAATATGACCACTAGGTGTCAGTAGTTCACAGATTGCCGTCAACTGAATTTCAAGTACCTCCCAGTTCAAGTACACAATCAGTTAGTCGACTGTTTATGTCAGATGTTATTACGTGTCCTCGTTTCTGCAGGAGGCTGTAAAACTTTGTAATAGGACTCTGATACGAATTCTGTCTGATGACAGCGATGCTGATCCGAGTTGTTGAGGATATTCTGAACTTTTCTGTTGGTAAGCGCTGCTGTTTTTGCTGCTGTTAGTGGCTGTTAGTGGGATAAATCTAGCATTGGTGGACTTTGATACTCAATCAACATAAGCAGCTGTTGTTGTTTTAGCTGGCTAGTTGGCAACTGTTTGGAGAAGGGAGGGTCACATGTTTAATCTGCTGACAGTAAATAATTGTGACAGTATTGGGAATAACTAAGGATGTTTATTCGTATTTCCATGTATTAATGCTCTGACTTCAGTTTAAGAAGCTTGATGTGTGGCATTTCATCCAGATGCAGGTCCCGTTGTCTCTTTCGCTTCTTTGGTGAAAGGGACGCCTCTCAGATGATAAAACATAGGTACGATCCTTCATATCTTGAGTTTGAAGGTGCAGACGCTGATTAAAACACCTACAGGTTCTCTTCGCCTCCACCTTTGGTGTACTACATATGTGGCCACAAAAAAACACAATTAGGTGGAACGGGATGGCCATTTTAGCCACTGTATTGAAGACAAACCTCCTATTCCTTTTATTTTTTACATTGGACTTTGCAATGTAATGTGTGAATATATATGAGGGAATGAGGGAAATAGATGAAAAAGTAAAGAAGGAAGATGGTGTAAGAATAAAGAACTGAGGATTTTTATTATGGTGGAAAAGAAGGAAAAAAGGACGCAAGGGAGGAATGCACGCGCTAGAAAGAAAAAGCGAGTTGTTAAGTGTGCTTGAAGGTGAGACGGATAAATTAGTACTTTCCCCTGCTCTCAGCTGGACCTCATGCATCTCTAGCAGACGCACACGCGCACACAGTCTGAAGTGTCTCCCTGAGCACTGCGCGGTCGATCATTAAACTCTCGTCAGGATGAGTATTGGCTGTGATGTGTCCTTTCTCTCTCCTCTAAACTGCCGCTACTTCATTCGCAAGTGTTTTTCCTTGGGCCCAAGTGATGACTAATGACATTATTGATTGGCAAGTGTCTTTGATGGAGCGGAGAGTGGGCAACATATTTATAACATCTATGTCTGGTCGCATAAGCTCGGCTCCGAGAGAAGGCTGAAAAGATTTACGTAACGATGCTTTCAGCCTCCCTCTGGAACAAAAAAAAGGAAAGATGTTTACATAACACCACTGTGTCCTTCACATCTTGAGACGTCATTCCGGGTAGGTCTGAAATTTCATCTCGTTCGTTTACAGATCATTGACAGTGTTAGAAATTGCCAGGATTTGTTAAAGAAAGCCAGAAATTCAATCACTAGTAACTAATTTAACTAAAGTTATTTTTTTTTTGATGATGATGATGATGTGTGTTTTGCATAATTGAGGAAACTCTAAAAGTTGCTTTTTTGATTTCACGCTGTAAACATTTTGAGGCATTCCTTATTCAGAGGTAGAAAATACGGGAAGAACCGTATGACAACAAAGGAGGGAGAAAAGCAGCTGCCGCACCTAATTTATCACCTCTGACTGCTCACCACGGCACAGAAAATTGCATCTGAATTTGAACGTCTGGGGAAACCAAATGTAAAATCCCTGGTGCCGTTTTATCGGACGCACACGGACAGATAGGCTATAAAGGGGGGAGTGAGAGGGAAACGTGACTGTGAAGAATTCTTTTTCATGCAGTTTTCCAGCCATGTCAGTCGCCGGTCAGCACGGTCCGTGATGCATTAACTTGGATGTTACTCTGCACACAGTTACAGAAATATTCCATCTCCAGTTTGAGCAAATGAATCCTGTTTTTTTTTTTAAGTTTTCACCGTCAAGCTCTTTAATTATTCATGAATTTTGTCAACCTCTTCTTGAAAGATGAACGGATAAGTCACGATTCCAAAAGTGTTCATTAGGTACACCTTTTCAGCTGCTCATTAACACAAATATTTAATCAGCCAGTCACACAGTAGACTAAACTGCTGAAGTTCAAAGAGAGCATCAGAAGGAGGAAGAAAAGTGAGTTTGACGTAGATGTTGGTGCCACACAACCATCTCAGGTCCAGAATGATCCACCTGATCAGTCCACTCAACCCAAATGTCTGGGATTTGGTGGAATAGAAGATTTCCCACCATGGATGTATTCTGTGTGATGCTGTCATGTCAGCATGGGCCAAAATCTCTGAGGAATGTTGAATGTATGCCACAAAGGATTGAGGCAGTTCTGTAGGCCAAAAAACCCCAACAACCCACTACTGGGAATGTGTATCTAATGAAGTGGCCACTGAGCGTAAATTCTACCCAGTTTTTGTTGTTTTTAATTGCTCTCCAGACACTTGCAAAAACACACACTTACCTCATTTACTCATTTATGTGAGCGCCTTACTACACACAGCATTTTGCATCGCTGTTATTAATTTACACATTTAAGTATTCCCAGTGTCTTCAGAGTAGCAAACGTTCTTAGGAACCAGATTTAAATTGAATCACTGTGTTTATTAAGTTCGGTTAGGGGTTTTGTTTATTTTCATTTTAAATTTTGGGGGGATTTTTGAATTATTGGGCGGTTTTCCCTCTTTAGGACTGTTTCTGACATAAAAGAGAAAAATCGCGCTGTTTGATCTCCAGATAACTCGTCTGTTTCTGCCTCGTCTCTCGCCAGGAGTGTGCCGGGGAGCCTCTTTTCATGCTTTACTGTGCCATCAAGCAGCAGATGGAGAAGGGACCCATCGACGCCATCACAGGAGAAGCCCGCTACTCCCTTAGTGAGGACAAGCTCATCAGACAACAGATTGACTACAAAACACTGGTCAGTAAACTCGCTGTGTCTCGAGGCCCGTTTCATCTGCTCGGGACCGAATCATTCGATTTGTTAAGTTTTAGTCACATGAGAGTCTAAACAGTCAGCTGCTGAAATGCGGGTTGTTAAAGCGTACGGTGCATTTGGAGGGAGTTGGCCGTGGACCGTCCCATTTGCTGCCCAGTGTTAACAAAACAGAACTATTCAGGTCTAGCTTGGAAACATGCAGGCAAACCTACTCATCAGCGGGGTCTGCTACAGTTGTTTTGGTCCGCTCCCAAGTGCGAATGCCGAGTTATTATGTTCTCAAACTGCCTAAATAGACGAGGGATGTGTCCAGGTTTGAAAATGAGCTGCTGTAAACAAACTGGGTGTGAGAGTGATGCTGGACAACCTGAACAACCGTTTACAACATTCAACTAACCAGTGCTCATTGTTTGCAGCGTTCTTGACATATTCCTGATAAAGCCTAATTTCTTTTGTCTTTTCCATTTTTCTTCCATTTTTCTGCTTTTTTAAAAAATGTTTCCAGACGCTGCACTGTGTAAATCCAGAGAATGAGAACGCCCCGGAGGTGACAGTCAAGTGTCTCAACTGCGACACCATCACTCAGGTCAAAGAGAAGCTGCTCGATGCCGTGTACAAAGGCAGCCCCTATTCGCAAAGGCCAAAGGCTTCTGATATGGACCTGGGTAAGACATGCAGGACTGTATGTGCAGGTTTAATGAGATAAAATCAAATAAAAGCCGATTCATTTGTTTTTTTCCAGTCATTTTGTTTAGACGTCTGCAATAAGAATTGTATAAATCCAGTAGTCGGGTGAGATTAGTGCACTGTAGCTCATTGTCCCATTTTAGCTTTAATGAACATACTACATTCAGCGATGCCTTTAAGCCCAGATTGCCATGACGTTAATCTGAAAAACTTTTTTGATGACTTAAAAGCATTAGAAAAGTCTATAAACCCATATATATGTATGTAATATATGTGTATAATTTAAATATACATTCAATTCAATTTTATTTATACAGCCCCAAATCACAACAACAGTCACCTCAAGGCGCTTTATATTGTAAGGTAGACCCTACAATAATACATACAGAGAAAAACCCCGTATGAGCAAGCGCTTTGGCGATTGTGGGAAGGAAAAATTCCCTTTTAACAGGAAGAAACCTCCAGCAACACCATGCTCAGGGCGGGGCAGGGCCATCTGCTGTGAACGGTTGGAGTAAGAGAAGAAAGACAGGATAAAAGACATGCATAGATCAGATCTTAATTAATGGGCAAAAACTGATATCTGTATCAATATGGACTTAGTGATGTGTTAGGAATGAAAGGATGCCACATTCTTTGATGGAAATAAAAGTGATCCAGCAGGCTTGTCCATTTTGCCGAAACTTAAAATGACTAACTCAGTAGTTAGTATGGCCCGCACATTCTTGTATGCATACCTCACAACTAAGAAGTTTAACTTACTTGATGCAGCTCTCTGATTAAAATGTGTTTCTTTAATTATTATTATTGGTTTTTTTTGGTGTGACAGAAGTTTATCCATCCAACAGATTAAAATATCTCGAGCTTTTACCATAAAGAACCCTGCTCTCATTTTAGCCCCTCCCTCAGTGACTCGGGTTGCTGCTAACGTTGCTTGCTTGCTGCACGATACTGCAGAGTAAGCATGCGGCATCATTATCTGGACTTTTAATGTTGCAAATAGCCACTCAGTAAGAAAAACCAATAAGCTTAAAGACAATAAACTGCTCTGTGGAAATGAGGCAAACAACAGAGTATCAATTCTCTGTTGTTCTCGGGAATGTTAAGTCCAGGGACTTTTCTCACATTGGATACAGGCTTTTGATCAATTGTTAGTTGCTTTAATGTAATTTTGCAGTGTAAAATTTAATAAACCTACTAACTACCTCTTTTACATTGAAGATATAAAAAACACAAATGCAAAATGATGGCAAGTGATACACAGTTTCATGACACACACATGCAATTTGTGTTTGTGCTTTTTGCCATCAACTCGGCTTTCCTCTTTTCAAAGAATGGCGTCAAGGTCGGATAGCCAGAATCATCCTGCAGGATGAAGATGTCACAACTAAGATTGACAACGACTGGAAAAGACTCAACACGCTGGCTCACTATCAGGTACACGAGCACAAAGCAGGACAGACGTCAAGAGCCAGCTACTCAGCAAGAGTAATACACTGAATATTTTGGTGGTGGTGTGTGTGTATTGTTTTTGTTGTGCAGGTAACAGATGGTTCAGTGATTGCCCTGGTGCCAAAGCAGAACTCTGCCTATAACATCTCCAACTCCTCCACCTTCACCAAAAGCCTCAGCAGATACGGTACGGCTCCCATTCCCTTCGTGCCTCGATCCTGTTTAAATCAATCTGTCAATGATCCCCATTTCTCTGACCGCTCGCCTCCCCTCAGAGCCTCTAACTCGCTTTCATTCAGTCTTTGTCTTTGTTTGTCATGGCCATGATTGGGGTACTTTTTTTTTTCTTCTTTTTTTTTACCTCCATCTGAGTGAATGGCAATCCTTTTTATCCACTGCCATCAGCGCAGGCCAAGGCTATTCCACGGCTATTTCCAAGCAGTCCATAAATGACAGGCATTAAAGTAGACACCTCGATCCCCAGCTGACAGAGTGAAAAAGAGATAGAGAGAGAGAGAGAGAGAGAGAGAGAGAGAGAGGACACGTAGCAGTCAGATAGGCAGAGCCCCAGCAACAGTATGGTATTTTCCACTGGAAAATTAAACCATTTAGAGGATAAATTACTCTGAGGTGAGAAAAAAAACTGAACCCTCATCTGATGCTGAGTGGGTATTAACCCTCACACATGCACAGCTGCTATCATTGCCGCTGATCTGCTGTAGCCCCAAATCAGTGTGGCTGTTCTCCAAAAACGCCTGTGCCAAAAAATGAAATGTTTAGGTTAGAATTTGAATTTTTTTATTTTTTTGTGTGTGTTTTATATGGAAATGGAAAATTGACATGCTAGTGTTTCTGCTGAATGCCGACTCTGATGTCAATTCTGCGACCCGAAAATAGTGGAAAAGTCAGATGTGTCCTTTTTCCCTCAAATGTAGCATTCAGAAAAAATAGTGCTGGTCAAAGTGTTTATTTTCAATGACAGCTGTTCTCAAACTGTATTTCTAGCATACCTCAGGCCAAAATGAAAAAGCTAAAAAAGATTCATGCCCAACTCCCAACAATTATTTTATTGAGCATCAGCAAACTTCTTCTTATTTAATATGAAGCATTCATTGTATTTATTCATACTTCGTATTTACTTCATATATTTCACCTGGCTGTCATGACAACTTATCCAAGATGTAACCCTTTTACGTCACATCAAAAAAAGTGGTCCCAGTTTGGAGCCTGGTGGGACGCCTATTTTGTATGTTTGAAAGGTTAATATATTATTAACTTAAACACACTGTTGTCAGGATTCCACATGTCGTTTAAACTGACTCCTTATCTGAAATTGTATTTTATGCTTTTAAGGCAAATAAATAGCAGTAGAAAACTGCTGCCTGTTTACACACCAGCATTCTGTCTCCTTGGAGTCATATTTCTTGCCACCTGATGAATGCATGTCCAATATTCACCCTCCTTGCAGCTCAGAGTCTTCACCTGCTGATAGAAATATTTGACCTTTAACTTCTAAATCCAGTACTATTCAAAGCTACATGTTGGCAGGTGTAGAAATGTGTTTTTTGCAGGGCATTTTTACAGCATCTGCTAGAGAAAATCAACACAACCACAAAACTTGATAAGCTGATAGATATTACCGAGGGTTTAACAGCACAAGTGGCCCATATTATATGCAAGTAGACGTATGATTAACTGAAATACGGGAGTACCGACTAAAAATTCTTTCTCACTGCAAATATGCCAGTTTCTATTGATTCTACTTGGAACAAAATAAATGGTTTAATCAGTGCATCACACAACACCTACACTGTTTGAGAATGGCATTATTGAGGACCTGTTTCATTTCTGAACCTCTCTTGTAGTGAACTATCTCACACTGCTGCAAGGCTCCAGCTATTTTGCTCCACTGTGAAAAAAAGTTTGGTTAAAAAGTCTCTTTGACTGTGTCCCTTTTGTTTGTTATTATGATCCTGTTGGTGTGCCTCGTGCATGAATGTGTGCATGTAGCGGGGTGTTATTAGAACAGGCAAAATTGTTGGCCACCAATGGTCATGATGAGCTTGGAATCAAAGCCACTCAGCACCCCACTGGCAAAAGCAACAGCAGCGCTCTACACCATCCCACTCAGCCTCATTCACTCTTCTATCCCATGCACTCCCATTACTCTCCATTTCACCCCTCTCTCCTGACCTTTTTGACTCTCCGTCCATTTCGCTCGCCCACTCCCCCTTTTTTTTCCCGTCACCCCCCTCCACCCTCCCCATATATTTACTTCTCCTCTATCATCCACACTCCTTACTGTCCTTTCACCAAGCATGTGGATGGTTACACACATCAGCATCTTTGGTCTCGCCACCTCTTCTCTCCAGTCCAGCTTTCTACCCCAGAAACAAGAGATATTCAGCAGATATTGTGCACCTTACCTCCCTGGCACATTCCCTCCCCCCATCCTACATGAAATAGTCACAGATTTCTTCTTGCTTTATTCCAATCATGACACTCTCACAATGAATAATGAACCAGACACAGATGGTAGAGATTCTGGGTCAGTTAAACCATTTTTGAGTATTTTCAGTAATTCTACAGTAATTCTGTTTTTGTCTCATTTAGAGAGTATGCTGAGGACGGCCAGTAGTCCAGACAGCCTACGTTCTCGAACGCCCATGATCACCCCCGATCTGGAGAGCGGAACCAAACTGTGGCACCTGGTGAAAAACCACGACCACTCAGACCAGAGGGAGGGCGACCGGGGAAGCAAGATGGTCTCTGAGATCTACCTGACCAGGCTGCTGGCTACAAAAGTAAGGGGCAGGGGTGTAAACAGCACTCTCTTCTTTTTTATATATATATTGATTCTAGTCAGAGTGGAAAAACCTCTTAAACAGCACTTGAAACCATCAGGGGGACACTAAAACCCAATAGTAAAACTCTTCTTCAGCATTTTCAGCTCTTTCGTGCAGAGTGATTCACCTCACCTATTTAAAAGGAGAGGAAGCTTCTAATACAGAGTGTCCCCACATCTTTGAGGGGTCTTTATCTTTATCAAATTACATCATCACAGACATTGATGAGAATATTTATGCAACTAGCAATTGGTTTGTCATCACAGGAGATCAGGTCAAAGACCCACTACATTCACAGATTGAAACTTCACAGAACAGACCCACAAGGTAGAAAATTAGAAGGCTTTTTGCAAGCCCACGCAGGAGACAAGGGTTGGCGAGGGGATGAATACTTATATCAGTGTCTGGAGGCACTGAGAACCCAGTACACAGCCACTCTTGTTACACACATAATGAGTAAGAACATATACTCCAAAAGTGTAAATATGCTTTGGGTCTGGGGATACAGTAAAGAGTAAAATCTGAGACATTACACAGCCTGTGCAGACAGATGGATTTATTAAGATAGGAGCTTATCTGTTCCAGTAGAGAATAGACAGACAACAAGGGGGGAAAACACAGCTGAAATGCTTTCTGTGTAGACAAAACATAACGCCGGGCTGAACAGATGGTCCCCAGTTCAGTCTTAGAGAAGTTGAGCCGAAGGTAGCCATCCATCATGGTGTTTGGGTGGGCTGAGGTGTGCTGTGAGACAGCTCGTTAGGAAGGTACAATAGCTGGGTATCGTCAGACAAGAGTAGGGGGACCAAGCACCCATCCTTGTGGTACGCCAGTGGAAGGAAAGTGACAGGACACAGATAGAAGTGCAGTTTCAGTGGTTGGTTTTGTTTTCCCGAGAAGAGTTTTGGTAGAAAATTAGTAGGCATGTATGTAGTCCCTCTCTTTAAGTGTTAATAACTCTGTTTGAGTCTTTACATTGGGCGAGATTGCTTCAAAGCCTTTATTGTACATGAAGCAAGTGAAATGTACTGACTAAATGTGTTACCGGTGAAGCTAAACATACTCGTAACCATTCCCTCCATCTTGGAATCTTGCATTACAAAACAGGCCGCCTGTCTTTGCCCCTCTCCTTCATTGTCTTTCAGTTCACCTTCTCCTTTCTAATTGTAGGAGGGGGGAGGGAAATGTAGCAATGGGCAGCAGTTACAAGCAAGCTGGCATTTCAATTTCCAGTGGTAATAAGAAAAAACAGATTAATAAAAAGGTGGGCTTGTGGTGCAGAGGGTAGGGAGGCAGATACACAAGGTGTCAGGAGAAGAGTAATTTGTTGAGGGATTGAAGATTTGGCGATGTATGATGAAAAAAAAACTGAGAGGCAAATGCAATTCAGAAGCTCATCTTGTCCTTGTCTCTCTTATGGCTGCCTTTCCAAACCCGTTTGCCCCGGCGTCTCGTCTATGCAGATCTACCTGCTTTCATTCACAAGCGTTGCAGGAATAATTCCTGCTCCATTTTGCAGCGGCTGACTAAATATGATCCCGACATATATTTCCTCAGTAATAGATTCTGCCAGATGGAGAAGTCGGGGTGACAAATGTGGTGTTAGGGAAATTAATTTAGCTACATTTGAGGTAATTATGTTGAGGCATTGTCATTGGAGGAAAGCGCTATCCAAATCCAAGAGCCGGGGTTCTGGTTTGTGATTCTGCAGCGCTTAGTCAGCAGAGCAAGTAAGTCTCACAGCCAGAGTTATCGCTGTGATTCCCACTGGGGCCATTCATAGTAACAATGTACATGCTCGAGGCCCATTCAGGTGCTGTGGATACAAGTAGCTGGAAATGGTACATTATATTCTGCTTCACAGTGCCATGAAACTGCTTATGTTGACGCTGGCTTCCTGAGCTCTCAGATATTCCTCCTTTCTAATTAATAGTCAGGCTGATTTGAAAGGGAAGCATATGTGGGAATGTTTTTAATCCTAAGAAATTATTGCACACATATGTAGAGAATCAATAAAAGTTAGGAAAAAAAAACCCAAAACAAACATTGAGCATAGAGTTACCTGATCCAGCTCTTCATACAGATCTGCTGATGGCTCATATGAAAAGTGTTATTAACCCACTCTGCAAACCACTTCCACCCCAGCTCCTCTATTTCAAGTCATGTTCGCTCTTACTGACTGCTGCACTGCTCTCCTTGCCTTTTGGCTTTCTGTGTATGCGTTTAGAGCGGTGAGGAGGTCCCAGAACAGAGGCAAACTTCCATATATAAATTACAGCCACTAAAATAACAGTCCTCTTGTGACTAAAGTGGTTCTGACAGAAATATCAGAAAGGTCAGAGCGATTACCATAATATGGGAACACCACCTGTACTAAAATGTCAGAATGCTTGTTCAACATAAGAGTGCAGCTTATGCTTGTATATAATCATCATTAATATCAAAGACCTCTAAGCCATTTTGACCGGTGTGGTGGGAATCACAGCAACATTTAAATAAGACTTTCAGTGATTGCCTATAGACTAAAAACAACCCGACAGTGTAGTGAAACTGTTGAGAAAAGTTTAAAAAAAAACTAAGTACATCCCATAGAAATTAAAAGTAGCAGCCAGATGTTTGATCAGCAAGTGTGAGCACCTCTATGTTAGCAGAAGTTTAGTCAGTTTGTTGGTCTGTAATAACCTCTCGAAATTATTAAAACAGTTGATATTACAGCTACAATTACTGTTAAAATATTCCTTACATTTCTTTTTTAAAGTACACCCTGATTTCCTTCATTTAGGGTACGTTACAGAAGTTTGTGGACGACCTGTTTGAGACCATCTTCAGCACAGCCCACAGAGGTAGCGCGTTGCCCCTGGCCATCAAGTATATGTTTGACTTTCTGGACGAGCAGGCTGACAAACACTCCATCACAGACTATGATGTACGACATACCTGGAAGAGCAACTGGTGAGTCAGAAATCTGTAGCCGCTGAAAAACTAATTCCCCTTAAATGTAAAGTGTTCTCGAAAACGGATGTAACCCTGTTCGGTTCAATCAAATTTCACCTCCAGCGTAATGAGATCTTCAGGCGCTTTTCACGTTTGGCTCTGGTGACATTTGCGCTGGAGTCTAAATCTCGCTGAAAATGACTGCAATCAAAGTGCATTTCAAAGAGATTTGAATGGATGCCAAAATATAGTAATAATCGCAGTGTCTGCAAAGTAAATATCCTTGTAAACAATGCTGCACTGAATTAAATCGATACATCCAAGTCTGCAAAATGTATAGAAAAATGTAAAAAATGCTGTGTTGGGTGCTTCCTATAATAATATCTTCAGACTAGATTTGCAGTGTTTGTAATTCATAAATTATTTAATAAAATTTTTTTCATCATTGCGTTTCCGTAGCAATGAAGAGCATTCGTCTCCAGCCACACAGCTGCTACGATCCCCGAGGACCCCGGCACTGCCTGTGTGCATTAAAGCCGGCTTTAATGCACACAGTGAACTAATTAGAAAAAAACAGAACTACAAGTGGAATTAAGCTAGTGACGGAAAGCACTTAATCACACGATGTTACATTTTTATTTCGAAATAAACCTTTTTTGGGTTTTATTCTCTTGCTCTCTCTCCAGTCTCCCTCTCCGGTTCTGGGTGAACGTGATCAAGAACCCACAGTTTGTATTCGACATTCATAAGAACAGCATCACAGATGCTTGTCTGTCCGTGGTGGCCCAGACCTTCATGGACTCCTGTTCAACATCGGAGCACAAACTAGGCAAAGACTCGCCTTCAAATAAGCTTCTCTACGCTAAAGACATCCCCAACTACAAGAACTGGGTCGAGAGGTGAGTCAGAGTTTGACCCAAACGCGAAGACTTTGAGAACAGCTACGTTTGATGGGAGGACACCTTTTGTATCCGCAGTTTAAATGTTAAAAGTTCCTCATGAGCTGTGAGAGAAAAATGAGTTGGAGCGTTATAATCAAAGTTAATTACACTATTAAACTATTAAGCTAAAAACAGCTGTAAGACTGTAGCAACGTTACAGGATGAACTTTATCTGGTACTTGCATTTAAAGCATAATAGTTGGATTAAATTACTGCAAAGAAACCACTCTGCAGTAATTACAGCTGTCTCGATCACTATATAATACAGTGTACTATAAAGAGTGAGTAAAATTACAGTGAGAGCTGCTCCATATGGATCAGTTCTAAGACAAAAAGAAAGAAGAAGACAAAGGTTTCACTGGATTTTGCTAAGAAGCAGCCATAGCCTCTTAATCTTCTGCCAAACTCCAGGATGTTTAAGTGATTGCACCACCTGCGGTTCCACTTTAGGGGCAAGAGGCGCTCTGTTCATGTTTCTCCTTCAATTCATTCAAATTTTGTGTAATTAAATATACCTGAATTCAATTCAATTTAGTTTTTTTTATATAGCACCAAATCTCAAGAACAGTTACCTTAAGGTGCCTTATATTAGTATATTATATTAGTTAGGTAAAGTCCCCATAATAATAGAAAGAAAAACGAATTAGATGATTTCCTGTAAGCTCGGACTTGGCAACAGTGGGGAGGCAAAACTCCTTTTTAACAGGAAGGAACCTCAGCAGAACCAGGCTTAGGGAGGGGCAGCTATCTGCTGCTCAGCAGCGTGCATTACACCACCTCTACATACATATATATGTGTGT